GTGGCCTTCCCCGAAGGAATGCCTCAAATCTAAAAAGTTTGAGAGCCAATTATGTAGATGTTTGTTCTGTAGAACCAACTTGTCTAGCTATATTGCACAATACCTAACTAAGGTGAGCATGCTATTTGGAAGCTTGCCTGCACTTTAATGCTGCCAAATACCTGGGCTCATCTTCACTTGAAGTTGTTAGTTGTAAAGGGTTTCAACTCTGCTTGAGAAACACATTTATTTAAACAGATCAATAACTGCAGGATCTTGATTTGTCTCTGCAGATTCCATATTTACACTCATAGATGCCAACTTCTGCTCACAGACCTGTTTCAGATACTGCCTTGTAGTAATTTAGAGGCATTTGAAGATTTAGCTCAACAGTCTCAAGGGCACAATAGCTTTTGCAGCTACCTGCATTTCTTTGCCTGGATTTCACAGGAGAAGCCTAGTCTAACTGTTACTGTAATGTGTGACATAGGCATTGTGAGAAGCTTCTTGGAGGATATGCATGGTGTCAACCTGTGAACTAAATAGTTTCTTAAACATAAAACTGTGATAAAAAGGGGCAAAGAACCTCTTTGTCATAAATCCTATTGGAAAGTGCATCTCAAACCCCACAAAAAAATTATTTTCTATGGCAGTAGCTCCTCCTCCAGTTGTCACTAATGTCCCATTCATAACTTAATGCTTTGTGCACATGGGAAGATGCATTCCCGGGCCCTAAAGAGTTTAGCAACTTGAGGTCAGCTTAGTCACTGGGAAAATCCCGTTTCCTTTTATAACCCTAAATGGCATGTATGCAGCCATTTAACTGCAGTTTTTGACACTTATGCTAAATTTGTGGACATCAGCTTGCCTGCAGCAATTATGCATGCTTAGTAGGCCTGCACTCCAGCTGGTTAGCTGTGTCAAACTAGGATCACTTAAACGAGTCTCAAAATTTTACTCACAGAAAAACATGCTGAGTTAGGCAAAGGCAGCCTACCTTTCAGCCATGGTTAGGACCCTTGTACAGAGAACAGGAGACCTTGGTTCTAGGATCCCATCACACAGTGCAGCTTTGAACCTGCATCTTTCAAACTGTTCCTAAACTTGTTTGGCAGATTTGTAAGTGCTACCCTTGTTGTTTTACTTAAAGCAGATGTAAAATTCAGTCTTTCAGGCAAGATTTTTTTCTATGAAATGAGGTTGCTCAAGATAATCAGTGAAGTATAAAACAAAAAGATTTTATTCGGCTTTTACATGTAAATCTCCGATCAATCTTAGATTGGCAGCTTCATAGTGGTTTGTGTGCGCGCCTGTGTGCAAAACTAGCATTGACAAAATATAAAAGAAATAAAGACCTAAAGGCCAAGGAGGGGCTACATGTACAGATGAAAGGTAATATTGTTATTCGAACATTGGCATGTACATCACGAATACAGCATTTTTCTATCTGTCAGTTGTTCGTTGTTTGGGAGTCCCACTAAATATGCTTTGAAATTACTAATGCAGGGGAAGAATGAGAACATTAAACAATAAACTGCTTGGTGCATGACACTGGGAATAATGGCATCCCTGTCCTATTGAGTTTCAAGGCATTCAATTCCATTTCAGTATTTTAGGCCTTGTGCCAGTAACTGGAAGTCAAACAATATCTGACGATAATTTGCAAGTGGATTGCAAAATCATAGGGTGTTAATTTATTCCTACTCCTCCCCTCTCGTAGTTGTTTACGCATGGCTCACATGTTACTCTTAGCTAGGGTAACCACCTTTTCAAAATGGCAAGGCAGGACACATGAACACCTCTTCTGCACCTCCCTCTCCCCCACCCTCTGCCAGCTGGCGGCAAGGCCAGATCAGAGCAGAGGCAGATGCGGGCCGCCTGCTGTGGGCCCAGGGCTCCCTGCCCTGCTGCCTTTCCCTCAAAAGCCCTGCGCCAGCTATGTGCCCCCTGCCTGCTAGGCAGCAGCAGAGGGCACAACTCCACACTGCCGATGCCCCCATTGCTGCTAGGTGAGCAAGGGACGCATGGCCAGCACAGGACTCCCAAGGGAAAAGCAGCAGGGCAGGGAGCCCCAAACCTGCAGCAGGCAGCCTGCACCCCACTGGCATTGCATAGGGGATTCATGGGGGTGCACTTGCACTCCCTAAGAGTGCTGGTGCACCCCCTGACAGCCAGCATTCCCCGCTTAGGCAATAGGCAGAGGGGGCAGGCGGGAGCACTGGTCCCTCCCCTGCAAGCACTGGCTGGGGAGTGGGGGCACCAGGAGAAGCACCGCTGGCACTTCTGGGTGTGCCCCTGGCCCTTCTGGGCGCACTGCTGGCACTTCTGGGTCAGTGCAATCGGCCTCCCCCCCAGTTGCTGACTGGTCGCTGGTGGGGCAAGTGCCCCCCACCTTGACTCAAGAGGCACTAGTCACCCATGCTGCACCCACTCCTGCACCATGCATAAATCTGGTGGGGCACATGCCCCCCTGTGTCCTCTCTCCCTGGGGGTGCATGCCATGGCAGGGAGCTGCCCCACACCCCTGTGCCCCCTGAATGAGTCACCCATGGCTCCATCCCACTCCCCACCTCAGGCCCTGTGCACTAACCTGGCTGGGCAGTGCCCCTATCCCCTGATCCACTCCCTCCCTCACCATGTGGGCCTCGATTTGCCCCCCCACCCTTCCTCCCCATAGACTTACCTGCAGGGAGCTGGTCTCCATGCTACTGGGCTGTATACCCAGTCACATGCATGTGTGTGGGCATGTCCAGCTCCTGGCAGCCCCCCAAGCAGCCCCTTGCAGGCAGGAACACTGCTAGCCTGTAAGAGGAAACCTGGATCCCTGCACAATACTGTGAATCTAGGACAAATGCTGTCCCAGAATCATGGGCTTGGACTGTCCCACCCAATTAGGGATGGGTGGTCACCTACTCTTAGCTCTATAACCAGCTTTATTGACTGGTGCTAACTAGTTTGCTTCATGCTAGAATATCCTTGGCTCACTCTGATTTTCCTCCCCTCCAGGATGGCTCAGTCTTTAAATGAATGGTTATGGCAGCAGGAGTATTGGCTTCCCCCAGGAATCAGCTGGGAAGACATGAAGGAGACTGAAGATATCTGTTACCCTCAGCCTCAACACCTCCTGCTCAGCATCCCCTGTGCCCTGTTCTTGGTTATCGTCCGGTACTACTTTGAAAGGTAAACTGGTTTCCCTTCTTGTATAGACAGCTAACAATTTGGAGCCTATGACTGGAATAGTTCAGGGGAGCCAAATCTTGACCCAAAGTATTTCTGCATAGAAGCACAACTGCCCCATCTGTTTGAAAAGTAGCCCACAAAGGCTCCAGTTCTAAGGGTGAAGTTACATGTCACATTTATACCAGACCAAATCTTTGGCATATCAAGTGGTGTTAAAGTAAGAATGTGATGTGAGCAGTTGCACATTAAAGATGAATGCCATTTCTTGCCTGCACAGCTCTGACTTGCCACTAGAGGGCTGGCGAGCACGGGCATGACTAGGAGCCAAGACATCTGGACACTTTCCTTGCTCTGGGTTTTGGGGGTGGAAGGCTGGGAGCAGTGCATCCTGGGATTCTGAAGGACTACTCGTTTCTCATTTATCTCTGTGGGGCAGACTGAAGTTCCCCTACCATGAGCTAGGTAGCTTGGCCCAGAGTTATCAGTTGCCTGAAATTTGAGACATTGAGACACTCAGAGGGCACTTAGCATGAGTTAACAAGCTTTAACGTGCAGACAGTTGTATTTTAAGTGCTCTTAGTATGGTCAAAGTGTAATGTGTAATTTAACTCTACGTGTGTGTTGAGATAGATGTACATTGTTATTCACTGAGCATTGTAGTACATAGCAATAAACAGAGGGCCAAATATAAAGCAAATCATGCCTAGAAGGTCTCATTTGAATGGTCTCACTTTCCTCCTTTGATTCTGAATTAGTTTTTTGCTTATGCATTAGAGAAGCACAATATTATTTTGTGTTCTTCTGCACAGCATTGTCTGCTATTGGGATGAGTACAACAGAAATAATGTTAGATTATCCAGGTAGTGCTCTGCTAAAGGTATGGCTTCAAAAATCTCATTACAAGGCATTGAAAACTTTTGAAACTGTTTTCTTAGGATTGAAAAGTTCTATGTTTGGTCTCTGTACCCCAGTGAATTAATTTCTTTTTTGGATAGCTAATTCAAAAACTGCAGCTGTTTTCCAGCTCACAAGGGGTGTAGAAAGATAACTGGCTATTTTTAGGCAAGAGAACACAAAAAGAGCCTTATTGTGGGCTTTTAAATGTGGGTTTCTAACTATATTACTAGAGGTGAAGCCTGGCTATGTTTCAATAAGTGTTGTGAAAAGGAGAGCATTTTGGACTGTGCTGTGGGAAGTGCTGTTAAATTTAAAATGAGGTTGTTAATTACTCAGTACTGCATAGAATAGATGAATGTAGCTCTTTATCTGTGTGGCTGAAGCTGGAGGGGCCACTGCTTCCAGCCAGCTTGTACTGCTTTACAAATGTGTTACAATAGCCCCAATCTTGTTAAAGCTACTTCCCACCCACCCTCTGGGTGCCTTTTGGACTGGTAGATGGTCACAATGTTGGGAGTGCTAATTTACTAGCTACCATTGTTATTCAAGATAGAAGCAGACATCATCTGATGTCCCACTTGTACCACCATAAAAATGTTATGGCAGCACAAATGGTGACTAAATAGATGTCTCTACCCTTTGCCATGCCACACCAGAGGAAAATCAGTGATGCAACAAAAGGTAGTGATAAATTCTGATGGTTTATTGTGGTGGTCACCTATTAGTGTTGTGGCAGGAGAGTGCAGGTAGACTGAGCTGCCCGTGCTCTCCAGCCACCCTGGGCAGGTGATCTGGGGACCAAAGGGCTCCTCAAGCCCCTGAAGCACCAGCCCAGCTTTTCTTACTTACAAAGAAGCACCCTGGGGAATCTGAGGGCACCTCTCCACAAGTGGGAAAAGTCAGGGCTTCTTGCTTATGGAGAGACACCCTGGAATCTCTTGGGGCATGCCCTCTTAAACAGGGAAGGCCCACACAGATCCCAGCATGAAGGCACAGGACCAGGGAATCCCCAGCATCCAATGCTTCCTCACTGGGACCTGCTTACCCAGACCCACCCCTGGAATCTGAGGTGGGTCTGGGTAGGTGGAGAAAGCAGGGCTTCCCTGCTGACCCAGACCTGCCCCTAGGATCTCCAAAGTGGGTCTGGGTAAGTGGGGAAAGCCAGGCAAGTGTCCTCAGGGCACTAGAGGCCCCATCCTACCCAGTAGTTCTTAGGGCCGTAGTTCTTAGGACTAAAGTCCTAAAGCCATGAGAGAACACAACGTCCCTTGTCCCACACCATCAGTGGGTGAGACAAGGGCCGACGTGGGTTTCACCCAATGAAGTGGACACAGCAGATCCACTTCATTCAGCAGTGTCTCTTTCTAGCATCAATAACTTTAAATCTGCTTTGATCTCCATAAACAGTGAAGCTTTGCAGTCCTGTTGGGAAAAGGTTGGGATCATTAGCCCCTTACAAATTGACCTTCAGGCACAAAAGGCAGAATTCCATTGCCCTTGCTGAACCTAAGTGGTAGTTTTCCAGCCCTGTGAGTGGCCTTTTTACACTTAAGTACACCTTTGCTGTCAATGCATACATCACAAAAATGTAGCTCCACAAAAAAACATGACTTACAGAAGAAGAAAGTCTTTTGATATTTTAAACCTAATAACTTATGACATTTATCCAGGAGCCAGGAAACCTGTGGTCTAAGTGCTCCTCACTCAGAAGGAGTTTGAACCTTTATTTCTTTGACTTGGCACCGTAGTGCTCTAACCACTATACCAGTCTCTTCTCCAGCCCTCTTCTTGAAACTGGGCCTCTGGGCAGCTAAGGAAAGAAGAGGAGAACAGAGCAAGCCAGAGGACTCAGAACTTAATGAGTTGGCTGATGTTGTGCAAGTGAGGAGGCCTTGCTTCTAGCCTCGAACCCTGCTTTAAGTGAGTCAGAAGTTTGCCCACCACACTATCTTCCATCTACTCTGTTTAAACACAAAGAGCAGTGGCTCACATTGAAAAGAAGCTCTAGAGAGTTCTGAATAATGCCTAACTAGTGACAGGGTGGTAAACGGGCTATGTTGAATGGTGAGAGAGACACAACATCAAACTTCTGGAGGACAAAGTGTTAGGACCTGGGTGTCCCACTTCTTGCATGAGTGCTGTAGCCAATCAACCATATGGACTAAAATAAAAGCACTGCTCCTACTTTCTGTGATTTGTACTCAGTCCGCAGTGTGGATGCATAGATGTGCGCACATAGAAGTAATGGAATCATAAACTGTGTGTAAGTGCCAGAAAGTCTTCAAACATGGCTGGAAACTGATGTTTAGGATGCCTACAGATGTTTAGGGTTCTGCGTAAAGTGCCATGAGTTAAAGCCCCCTCCCTTGACCCAACAGACATTTGTGCCCCCCTGCCCACCCCCTGCACACTGGGGCTGTCAGCAGGGAAGGGAGGGGAAGAGGAGAAGCAGCGTGGAGCTGCCGGTTGCTTTGAATGGCTAGAGCTGGGGGGTGGGGGGCAGGGTAGAACAGAGCTCCCTCGCCTCATGGACCCCCTGACAGCTACCCCGGCTGGGGTATCGGGGGGAGCTGGGCTGGACTGCATCTCAAGGCAAAGGGACTCTGTTCCATCCCACCTTCCCCCAGCTCTGGCCATTCAAAGCAGCTGGCATCTCCGTGCTGCTGCTATTAAGAGGCCCAGGCAGGGGCTATGGGAAGGGAGCCCCTCACCTCATGGGCCCAGCCCAGCTACCACCAATAATTCTGGTCAATACAGCTATCCTTGAGTGTGATAACTACATAAAGAAATATCTATAGGAGTTCATCCCAAAACTTTAAATTGTATCCACTGAAAATTTTCTTTAGGAGTGAGAGTAAAAACAATTCTTTGCTACCGCAGTGCTAACCACTGGATAAACAACTTGCTTTTTTCGCTGCCCTGGAATTAAATACTACATTTCACAAATTAGTCCCATGTGGATTTTCCACCAATATGTATGTTGAACTGCAAAGGGAGTGGTCTGTTTTGCCGCTTTCTCCACTACCACCTATGGCCAAACTTCAGCCTTTGCATATATGATGATTTCTTTGATTATAGTATTTATTTCTGTTTGACCTTGGGTACACATTAGAGTCCATGATGTGTTTTTTGCCTAAGTTAAAGAGTTCTCCTGTGATCATGTACATCTTTTGTTCTATAATTGCATCAATGACTACTTGGCTGCAACTGTTATCTCAGTTAGCTTATTGCTAGCATAATTAATTACAGCCTGATGTATAAATCTTTGAGTTCCATGAGCTGCTACATTGTCTAACTTATTACAAACCAGTTCTAGGTCCATGAAAAATAAAACTCCAGTGGTTGTATACCTATACACCTATACATCCTAAAATAGTGTTTACTGTCTCTCAAACCACAAACCTCTAGCTTGTGAATTTTGTAAACTAAACAGCTTTTAAATCATGACTTGTTGGTTACTGATATAATTTGAACAGTTTATATACTTACTAATAATGAGAAAAGTTTTAGGGTTAAGATGCCATACAGCTAGCATCAGTTGAACATCCTTAAGTACTTGTGTTGCCTCATCCATTTTAACTAGGAGAGGATCTCCAAATTCAAAAGGATCATGTGGTGAAGGAGGTTTTGCTTTGATAGAAAGGTTAATATATTTATCATGCTGGAGGTAACCTAAGCAACACAGGAAATTTGGAAACGGTACAGAAAGTTGACCAGATAATATTATTTGTGTGTAATTGTTAAAGTCAGTGCTATCATATTTACCAGGGTCGTACATAGAAGTAAAGTTATCATTAACTTTAATATTCCAAAGTTCTGTACACTTATTTGGTGTACACTTGTTCATTTTTACTCCATCACCAGTGACAGTGGCTCTAATTTGAATAGTTAGAAGCTTTGGTTGTTGATTGTCATTCATTTCTTTTACAACTCTTTTCTGAGAGTTGAAAACAAATCCTCAGTTGCATTTTGATTTATAGGTGGGTGGTGGTGTTAAAGACTTGTTGGGCATGATTTGAATAACAGGGGGCACATCTATATGTGATGCTTTACTGCATAGTAGGCCAATTTACAGCGCAGTAAGTGTCACCATCTACAGCACA